CAGCAGACGCCCCCAGACTCCATAGCACTTTAGTCAGCACGACCTGGTTCTCGGTTAAGACTGCAAGTGTCCCACTTTCTACAGCGCTTTTTCCTACCAGGACAACTGGCAGCTCCAAGAGCTTGATGCCAGCATTTAATGAGCACGACTGCCAGGGGACTGGGCACTAAGTGCCTGGCATCTCTTCTCCTACTTCTCCCTCAGTAGCTAACAGGGTTGGTTCTCCAACGTTACTGAAGGCATCAGAGTGCAAACTTAAGTAACGAGCAACAGTGGGTTTCCTGCATCCAGAAATTGCTGCGCTATTTCTTTTTAAGGTTTTGTGTGTGTGTGTGTGTGTAAAAGAGAGTATGTGTGTGTATGTATGTGGGGGGGGGAGAAAGTGTATGTGTGTGTGTGAGAGAGAGAGAGAGAGCTGTGTGTGTGTGTGGTGTGTGTGCCTACACACATGTGCGTACTTTCAGGATTTGGTTATCTTCCTCCAGCATGGGATGAACTCATGCCATCATCACGTCTTGCACAGGAAGCACCTGACCTAGTGAGCTATCTCATCAAATCATAGCGCCAAGCCTTCCAGTTTACTGACATGTATGTAACATGAAATCCAAGCACTTTAAAATCAAGACAATCTGAAGGGCAATCTAACCCACTGCTTAGGATATATATATATATCTCACACGCTCTCCTTGAGGCAAAAATTCTAAAATTAAAAAAAAATAAAAGCAATTAGACATTATTTCTGCTATTATTATCAGTTACATGTGATTAGAATGTTATACATCCCAGGCACATGCTGTGTACTAATTAATCCTGTCCATACAAGAGAAAGGCATGAGCACTGCCCCATGCAAAAGGACAAACTCAGGTTCAGAGGGATTATCCAGCTCACTATTAAGGAGTGATGGGGTTGGGCATTAGGAGAGACCTCATCCGAACCTCTGCCGCCAGAGTCAGCAGCCAGTTCAGCAGCCAGCGTCCAGTGAACTGAGCTGCTGGCGTCTCTTTCAATTGAAAACAAGACAGCAAACAGCAAATTGTTTTAATTATAGCCACTCTGAAGATATAATGGATCATTATGACAAAGCATAAAAAGATAAAAAAACCAAGACATTAATGTTAACTAGTTTTAAAGTTAATATCCAGTTGACAGCAAATAGTGAATTATAGTGTTTATTTTTCATGCAATGCTCAACACAAAGTAGTCTCTACACCAAGAGACTTTGAAGAATAATGAAGAGAACCTAGAATTTAATCTTATTGATCACCGATTTTCAAGCAGTTAAAAATCTTTTGATTCCCTATTTATAAGCTGCAGTTACTCAGTCAAGTTAACCTACAATACAAAGAGGACCAATAATTATTGAGTTTAACATATAAATTGTAGTTCAGTAATAGAGTATATGCCTAGATAAAAGATCTGTTGACAAATTGGCAAGTTTTACAATATATTATAGGGTATACCTAAATACTTGGGGGCTAGAAATATGACTCATTAGTTAAGGCATTTGTTGCTTTTGTAAAGGACCTGGGTTCAGTATTCAGCACCACATGGTGGCTCACAACTACTTGTAACTCCAGTTCCAGGGGATCTGATGCCCTCATCTGGACTCTGTAGACACCAAGCACATACATGGTGCACAGATATACATGTAGGCAAAATACCCATACACCTAAAATAAAAATAAATAAAAAACCCAAGCAAACAAACAAATACTCCAGGACAAAGAAACCATACAAGTAACAACAAAACATATATATGCAAAAGAGGGGCTCAAATTTCAAATTTTGAAAGTTAATATTTTTCGAGACAGGGTTTCTCTGTAGCTTTTGATGCCTGTCCAGGAACTAGCTCTTGTAGACCAGGCTGGCCTCAAACTCCCAGAGATCCGCCTGCCTGGGCCTCCCGAGTGCTGGGATTAAAGGCGTGCGCCACCACCGCCCGGCACGTTAATATTTTTAAAAGCAAAAATCAATGCAAAAACTACAAACCCAAGTAATTTATATGGCAAAGGAAAACAAGGCCTGTTAAAATAAAATATCTATGGCTTCTCACCTTCCTACAACCATCCTTCCTTTAGAAGAATGTAGTCCCAATCCCCTTTCCTTTAGAAACTAAATATTCCCCACCATTAGTTTGTGTTTGAGAACATGTTTTCTGTTGCCCTAGTCCATGGTAAGAAAGAAACACAAGCCTGGCCACAAAAGCATTCTATCACTCAGAGCCTCTGGGACAAGCTGGCTTTGCTGGCCAATGAGATGCTGACACAGACATGTGCTAGACTGTGAGAGGACAAGAGGATCTCTTCTGGGGTTTCTACAGGAGTGTGCAGGCTGTGAACCTATTGCTAAGTTTTTATGAGTATGAGGTGAGGTTTCAATTATTTTTCTATTAGTATTCCCAATTACATCCCCCAGCAGAAAATGAGTCCCTACTGGCAGGGGAACAGGTCAATTATAACTATGACTTTGTGTGTGAACTTTTCTCTTTTATTTTTGAGACACAGTGTTATTATGTAGCCCAGGTTGGCCTGGTGTCAAGCTCAAAAGAGATCTGTCTGCCTCTGCCTCTGCCTCTGCGGTGCTCAGATTAAAGGCATGCAACACCACACTCAGCCCAGTGCTATATTTTTTGTAATGTTTCAGTTATTAAATAGAACTTTTTATAGTAAGAAACAAACATTTAAAGATAATGTTCCAGCTTCTCAAACATGCCCAGATAGAAACATTTCATGTTTTTGAAGCATTAGCTTTTTTCCCCTCATGATTTACTAAAGTAGACAGCATCTATCTGAAAAGAACCGCTTCTTTTTTGATACTAAAGGAAACTTTTTATTCTGACTTAGGAGACATCTGCCATAAACCTCTAAAAAGGGAGTTTTATATAAAAGGAGGAATACTAGATAACTCTTTGAGGGGAAATGGATAATAAGTTCATATGTATTTTCAACATTGTAAAAACTGTTCAAGGACTAAACCTAACTTCAAAGTTTCAAAGGGAAAAAAATTACATTTGAAAAAAGGCTTTATTGGCCAGCCTAATGGCACATGCCTGTAATCCCAGTACTCAGGAGGATGAGGCAGAAGATTGCCACTAAGTATTAGGGCAACTGTGGGGATGGAGAGTGGGGTTACATTAGTTACTTTAGTCTAATAAATGATAAAAGGTCAGAAGTTAAGTTCAGTTAAATATAGGCTATAATTATTTCATGTGCTATTCAATTATGGGAGAAATTATACACTATTAAGTTTAAGTATAAGAAAGCAAGTCTTTGGGTGACTTTTTGCGAGTATAAAAACATATAAAGGGCAATGAGCAAGGCTGAATACAGTAGTGTATGCTTGATGTTTCAACTGTTAAGGAGGCCAAGACAGGATAGTTTGTGTCCACGGGTTCAAGGCCAGCTTGGACAACACAGCGAAACACTGTCTCAACAAATAAGTAAGTTTACTGAATGTTGTAACTACTCCATGAGAGGATAGGAAAACAACAACAAAAGCAGGGATTCTCTTGCTTTGACTGCCCTTTATTAATTTCTATCACTCTCCCCGGGCACGTGCCATATTCCCAAATCTTCACTTTATGCTAATATTTGGAATTTTATGACCCTCTCTAAGGATACTTAGGTGTTGATGACACTTTCTTGGCATGTAGGTAGCCAGGGTGATGTCTATAAGTGAAACAGCTAATCAAGGGATTGATGAGCAGTAGGGACTGAACCTATTAGGGCCTGCAAGGTAGGGCACGCCTGTAATCCCACCCACCATTCAATAGGTGGAGGCAGAAGGAAGCAGACTTTGAGGTCATACTGACAGGCAAAAAAAAACAAACAAAACAAAAACCAACCAACCAACCAACAAACAAAAAAAAAAACCCAAACCTGTGTCAGAAAACAGAAGAAAAACAAAAGTACACCAGACCAAAGTAGCTGGAGGCCTGAACACCTTCCCCGGATAAGTGGCATTCCAAACTCTTTAGGATAAGCGAATCATCAACACAAGAATCCCGTTGTCTACACCAGAAAACAATCAGGATGGTCACGCTGGGCTGGCCAACTATTTTTTTTTTTTTGTCTCAAGATGGTGACAATCGTTGAAACCTAAATTTCCCAACAGCTGTCAACTCTGAACTTGTCTCATGCACAAACTCCTTTCTAATGCTGTTTAAGTCACCTCCACATCTGACCCTACTGGCTGCTTTAACATAAACAGAGGTCAATCAAAGAAGTCACCCCAAAAGTGGAATCGAAATATCTATTTAAAAACAAACGGGGGGGGGGTGTCTTTCCGAAGCATTGCAGGAAGAAAACGATTTATTTTTAGTTTTATGAAATGTTTACTCTATTTACATGTAGAAATATTTGCACTTACTTCAAGTACTTGAAAGGGTCACTAAAAAAAAGAAGGAAAGAACGAAAATAAAAAGGTAAAACCCTAAGATTTATAAAAGTGACAACTTATTATAAAACACAGTCGGTCATAAACTCTTCTTCCAACATTCATATATAACCAATAATACCTCGCTTGTTCTCGAAACATCGAGGTAACCTCGAATGGGACCGGGCACAGACGAAGAAAGAGGGAGAAAGAGAAAGAACGCAAAGTCGCCAGTGAGGATAAAAAGAGAACAGCTCAAGTAGTCTTCAGTTTTGCTCCTCTAAGGAGCCAATGATTTCCCCCTTTTTTTCTAGCCCACGATAAAGGAATCTGTCTATCGCAGCCGTAAACTCCCGCATCCACTCCCGACCACATGCACGAATTCCAGGAGAATCAGTCAGAACTCCCTCTGTGTCCCGGCCGCGGGTGGAGAGGATGCACTCTGAGGCTGGAAGTCTCACCACAAGTTCTCCCCGGACAGGAATAAGGGTTGGGGTGAAGGGAGCGGAGGACCTAGCAGTCCCCTCAGCCTATCACCGACAGCATCATCATGACAGCTGTCCTGGCGGACCTGAAAAGTGGCCGGGTCTCAGAGCCAGACCAAAGGCACGTCCCTAAAAACGTACCCGCTTCTCGTCCCCTAAACGGCTGTCTCCGCGCAGCGATCAGAGTCCTCACACTCACCCGTCCGAGCTCCAGCTTTAGCAGCCACTCTGGGAAAGCCGCCCACCTCTGACGACCATAGAGACGGAGCAGCCGCCAGCCCCGCTGCGCGTCCACCGCCCACTCTCACGTGACTCCCTTAGCCGCTGGGCCTGTCGGGATCTCGGCGAAACGCAACCCGGAGGAAACCAAGGGGAAAAAATGGGGAGAGGCGGGGAAGCCACCCCACCCTTCCCTAGGACACGCCCACACCTCGGGTCCCGTCCCGACTCAAGACTCCGCCCTCCCTGTCCTCCAGCCCCGCCCACAGATCGGCCTCGCCCTCACGCTGTTTAGGCGGGAACGCCGGCGGGTTGGACGAATCTCTCAAGCACTCCTTTGCTGATTTTGTTTCTCTGCTGTCAAAACGCACCTCTTCTGCGCCTCTTTCTATTTAAACTCCGCTCTCTGGTAAGTGAGAAAGTGATAATGAGATTCTTCCCACTAGCCATGAGGCTCACACTGTTTTTTTTTTAAGCATCTTTTATTTATTCTTTGACAATTTCATACATGTATCCAATGTATCTTAATCCTATCCACCTCCAATTCTCCACTTTCACGCCTTCCAGATACTTTCCAGTACACACTGAGTGGAAGGAGAGAACTAACTGATGCCCCCTGACCTTCAGGTTTATGCTGTGGCACATACATACATACACTATGAAGAACTGAAAGGAAAGAGGAAGAGAGAAAAGTAAAAAATCTTCCTTATATATTAATAAGTGTTTAGTATACATCGCCCTTGAGAAGCCTGTCTGTTAACTCTGATAATTTTAAGTTTCAAGTTGCATCCCAAATTGCCCTAGAACACTTTGGAGGCTCATGGGACCTCAGTTGTGGCTAAATTAACTATTTATCTGAACAAGGGAAAGAGAAAACATCAGTATATAAGTGTTGACTTAAAATTTTCAGCCAGATGTGGTACGACTGTAATTTCAGCGTCAGAGAGAGAGAGAGAGAGAGAGAGAGAGAGAGAGAGAGAGAGAGAGAGAGAGAGAGGCAGTAGATTCAGGAGCTCAAAGTCATACGTAGTTGCATAGCGAGTTTGAAGCCAGTCTGGGCTGTGTAAGACCCTGCCTGTCTTAAAAACTAAATCAAACAGAAATCCATCAAGATCAAGAAAGGCAGTGATTAAGCTGGGCCTGGTGCAAGGGATCGTAGCCCTGGGGGGTGGAGAGAAGGATCTGGAACTTAAGGTTTTCCTCGGCTACACGCAAAGCAGGCTGTTCTCTAACCTCCGTCCGCATGCACACCGCAGCCTATCTGCCGCAGCATACGCACTCACATGCATAATAATACGTACTTAGATGTTAGAAGAAATGACGTCCACCCAGGTAGGTCTGTCCCCCATCTGTGGGTCGTCCTCCCCGCCCCGCTCCGTGCCAAGCCAGCAGTTCAGTTCCCAAGCTATTTGATGATCAAATGCCTCACACTCATCTGTGGAGATTTTTGTTTTAGTTTTTTTGAGACAATTTCTTTCCATATGGGCCAGGGTGCCCATGCAGTTCTCAAACTCATGGTAAACCTCCTTAGGAGGCCTCAGCCTCCAAAGTGCAGGAATTATAGGCATGCACCCGCTATGCCTGGCTCAGGTTAAAATAATACAGACTCTCGGATCATACGATATGTTCATTGGAATAGAACGCTGCTCAGAAATGTGAATTTTTGAAGTCCCACATGATTTCCATTGAAATGTTGTATGGGAAAAGAAATGGATTTGGCTTTTCCATACCATAGCATAAAACATCTCTATTTTAGCTATCTCTATTTTTGCCTTCAGTATACCGAAAGTACATTATGTTGAAAGTTCTATATTATCAAGAGAGAGACTATTTTATTTCATTTGGCTAGCATATAAATTGACATACTTTCAAGCATTTCCTAGTTAGCTATTTTTATCACACACATAAAAGTAACAACCCCAGGTGTTACCACAGCAGGCTCAGCTTTTCGCACCACTGTGAAAAGTGCAATGTCCCCTGTAGCAGCCTCTGAAAGAATACAGTGCAGTTTCACAGACCTTGCCTTCAGTTTCTCTCAAATGAATTTGAAAGAGATGCCCCATCTCTCATCATCTTTATCTGCAGGGTTTTATAAATTATTTTAAAATTAATGCAGACTGGGCTGGAGAGATGGCTCAGAGGTTAAGAGCATTGCCTGCTCTTCCAAAGGTCCTGAGTTCAATTCCCAGCAACCACATGGTGGCTCACAACCATCTGCAATGAGGTCTGGTGCCCTCTTCTGGCCAGCAGGCATACACACAGACAGAATATTGTATTCATAATAAATAAATATTTAAAAAAAAATTAATGCAG